CTGCTCGCCGGCCGCAGTGCGTCATCGGAGGACAAAAGAGATGATGCGCCCCGCTCCACAGCAGCGGGGTGCATCAGGCAAAAATAAAAGACAGAAAATATAAAAGGAAATGAGCCGACATGAACGATCGCGTTACATTTGTTTTTGAGTAGTGACACCTGATTTGATAATGTTACTGTGGCCGTGCTCAGGACGCAGATGTCTGGAGCGCGTCAACGATCAGAGCTTTGCATGCGCACGCTGGTTAAGATTAGGATGGGGGTGTGGGGAAGGTTAAATTGCAAGAGGGAAAAGGTCACAATTTGGTTAAATGTCCGTTTTACGGCGGGTGTCAGTACCGACGCTCTGGCACAGCGCGTCGCCTCTGCCTCGATCCAGACGTGCAGGGGCTCGTCACCTGCTGTCTTTTCCGAGGACTGCATCTTATTATCACGTGACAGCGACTAGTCGATGACAGGCATAAAAAGTCACTTCAGAGCAGTGAAGTCGACTAGTCGACTAGTTCATACAACCCCTACTCTTAGGGAGCACACAGAGTATTCTACACAGTATTTAAATAGAAATAAAGAAATGTGTTTGTTTCATTTATTATTTGAGATATCAGATCTCCATCTTAGTTTCTTTAAATGTATATCCTGGCAAAGTCCACCTACCTAAATGCAGTAATATAAATAACCCAGTTCTGCTCTTGAGCATCAGCAGAGATGTTCATAAACATTTAGATGGGCTTAAACTGTTATGCTGTTGGTTTAAAAAGCAGGAACTTGACCCATTATTAGGAACCAGGGAGCAGAGAAAATAATCGTGACACACTGACTTTAAAACATTCTTAAACGTATTCAGATAAAACCTGTTAAAAACCGTCATTTCTTTCATTTATCTGCCCAAAAGCATGACTTTTTCAGGAAGCACACAGATAAGAAACATGTTAATATTACGAATATATTTAAAAGTAGCAACGTCGTTGCTCATAGTAGCGTCAATGAGTGGCTGAGCGTTCCCGCGGCAGGGAAGCGCTGAGCCGAGCTGAGTGAAGTTGGCTTCCAACCCACATCTGAAATCCATGCAAATAGAGTGGTTTGTGCTTTCTGATGTGGGTGGGGAGCCAGCTTCACTCAGCTGCTGGGGCTGGACTGTGAGCAGAGCACACAGACAGTGTAGTTTGAGCATAGTTTTTTTCTTGTCTCGGCTCGTTAACGAAAACTCACGTTTGTCTCGTCATGTTTTAGTCACCAAAGAGGTATTTTTAGCTTGTCAGCGTCTTGTTTCTGTTTTGAAAAAATGGTCATCAACTAAATCAATTCGGCATCGCTTTCGCTAACGAAAACCACTCTGGTGAGAAAGTTATATTTGTGCTTGAAAATTGGACCGCAGTAACCACATTTGACCACAGGATGTCATTCTTTCATATTGCAATTTTAATGAATAATCTCTGCTTAAGACAAAAAAAAAAACAAATATGAGAATCCTGGTAAGTGTGCTAACTAAATCACTTTGTTGGGTTTCTCTTTTTGAGCTTTGGGATTTTTGAACAACCTTTGATTTCTACAACATATATTTTATTCCTTGGTGCATTTTAAAGATGCTACGTTCCTTTACATGCCTTGTTAGAACTATAATGCTAGCCTTTCAGGATATTTTTCATCCACCAGTAGAGATCATATCAGTGTTGTATTTTGCATCTGTAATTCTTTATTGTCCCGTTTTTCACCTCTGTGGTGTTTAACTAGTCAGTTAGACAAAAACATTCTGAAACTAAGGCAATAAATATAAAACATGCTCTGGACTTGGACTTTCTGGATGTTATATAAAATAAAATCACGTTGCCATGATGAGAGCCGGACTTGATCCAAATGAAATTAACCATATTTAATTGAGTTCAAGTGTGTTCTTAAAAATAGTTTCACTTGTGCATCAGTGTCTGTTCAGGGAGAGGACAGTCTGCTCTGCCGTACGTGGTTAGAACTTTTCTCACTGACACTTTACATGGTAAAACTTCACAATCCTAATTTAACATCCTCTGAGATTTCTGGTTGCATATATTTGCATTCCATCAGTTCGATAACAACTCTGGCTATGCGCCATTCTGTGTGTGTGTGTGTGTGTGTGTGTGTGTGTGTGTGTGTGTGTGTGTGTGTGTGTGTGTGTGTGTGTGTGTGTGTGTGTGTGTGTGTGTGTGTGTGTGGCCACTGAGCTTTAATTAGATCTAACAAAGTGAAAATCAATCCTAAGTTTGTATCTTTTCTTGCTGATTCTCGCTGTAATTCTTTTAATTAGCAGCTTTTCTTCTCTGCTGCATTCATGGTTTCTGTTAATTCAAATTATTTCAACCTAACATTTCAATGAAAAACACATGCTGTAGCTCAGGAAGGACACATGTCGAGTCGACTCTCCTAACAACTAACATTTTAACATAACTCCTATAGTTAAGAAAACACTGAGCCTCCATTTTTCTGAGTTCCCCGTGCTGCAGTTCTTAGGTGTGCACGATTTTGGGTTTCATTTTGAGGAAGAACTCTCATGTAGTTTCTCACAAGATTTAGTCCAGATTTTCTTCTCAAAAGCGTTGTGTAGAGCATAATTTGAAGGAGTCATGCACACCTTACATCTTCACGCAGAGTAATTTCGAGCTTGTTTGAAACATTCATCGTGTTTCATACTCTTCAACAAATGCAGAGCATTGCTCAGTTTGATCAAGGCAAAAGTGTGTCTTTTGTTCCTTTTCCTACCTTCTAAAAAAGGGAACATCACATATGCAGGCTAGTTTGTGTCTCCTTAGATGTTATTGAATTATGTCATTCAGTGGCATGTGGGCATGAGTCTCATTTTCTCCATCTGCTGTGATGTTTGGGTGTCTGATATATTATATATATATATACATATATATATATTTATCTATATATGTGTGTGTGTTATTTTGTCTGTTTGGTCTTAAATCTCTGTAGTTTACTTTGTTAGTGTCATTGTGTTTTCACTTACTCGTGGTTCTATCATTTATAATCGTGTTCTCTGTGATCAAGCCATCCAATATACATATATAATCCTCAGTTTCTCTCTATAGCGATAGGTATAAGGGATCCCCAAACATTCCCAACTAAAGAGGATATACAGTCCCTCCAGACCTCCAGAAGAGCTTATCACTGCCAAAATCAGAAATCACTCGAACCAACTCACCATCTCAAATGGTCCGAACCCCTAGGCCTGATGTGGTTTACATTGTGCGGGAACTTAAGAGGGATTGTTTAAGCTGGTGGTGGTGAGATTTGCCTAGCCTCTGTCTGCCTACATCTGAGCATTTTATCACGCCGGCCGGCGGCGCCTGCTGACTGGCTGAGGATTCAATGGTGCGTGACGATACATTGACCTTGGGTAGAGATATCAGAAAGCATCAATGACTGAGCATTTGCCTGGTAAGAAGAGAGCTTATGTGGGTCTTAGGGTGAGTGGATGATCGGTGACAGAACAGGACGTGATCACTATCATGGAGGGAGCTGTGAAGGGTAATTTTAGCTCATACTGGCTCAGAAAAAACATGATTTAAGAATATGAAAAACTTAGTTTCTCTCGTTAAGGAAGCAACTATTTACTATAATGGCTCCAAAGATAATTTTGTCTGAAACTCCTGCCGTGTGAGATGTGTTAAGAATGCTGTGGTCTGCTTGGAAGGGTGTCAGGACCACTCCGATCAGAAATCAAAGATATCCAACATGTTGGATTGCCTTTATCCTATTTTAAAGACAAATGGGTTCGCTGCCGCTCAACAGAAACTTTTAGCCAATCAGCTTACAGAGTGAGAGGGGATTCTAAATCCTCCTCTTCATCCACCATGTTTGTTTACTCTAAAGTTTTTTGGAAAAGAATACACATCTCTTTTCCAAAATACACCAGCGATTAAACATTTCTGCAACTGGATGTAACAATAAAGAAGCATTTATTAATTTTATTAGTATTAGAAAGTTTAAATCATCAACCAATCAGAATGTGATCTGCTGCTGCCCTTTGGTTTGCTGCAGACTTGAACAAGACAGTACCACGTCCGCAATGACAGCCTCCCTCAGCTGAGTGATGTTGTTGATGCCTGCAAACTGAATCCACGAGGATGTTGTCAGTCCCTTCCATTCGTTTCACTTAACATGAAGCCTGACACACACAGATAAGCACTCCATTGTCACATCAAATTGAAATCATCAGTTTCCTGCTGTGTGCATCCATGTCAACATAAAAGTTCTAATTATGACCTAAATCTAATGGAAGCATGAACTGCTTCACTGAACCGCGACATCACATTATTCAGATGACACGTGTATACAAGCAGAGATGATGGTTAGTTTTTATTTGTCTTGTGAAACAACTGAAGTCTAACAGCTTAGAGTTTGAGACGCTGAATGACACGAATGTTTATAAATGGTTCGTCTAAATCATAAGACATGAACATTATGCTTAGACCTTTAATAAAAGAAACATCTAATGGAGCAAATGTGGGTACTTCCTGTGTTTTTTGTCATATTTTCTTCATCTTGCGGAGGATCAGTGAGCATTTCTAATCAGAAGGAGGGAAATGAGGAAACAGGACGCACCTTTCTTTAGGCTCTCTAAAACCTCTGAGCGTGTCTGTGATGGTTGTTGAAAGTTGTGCAGCACAGCTGTACTTGCCACCCTTCAAGTGTCTTTAATGAACACCTCATTAGATGGAAACCTCATTAGCTGTCTAACGACATGAAGCAGATGATCCGGGGAGGAAGAGGGGAAGGTTTTGTTGCGTGTCAGTTGTTAAAGGTAGACAGATGGGCAGTGGTGCATCCTCAGTTTTTACTACATGAGTAAAAAAACACCAGCTTCATAAGCTGACTGTAAATAAACCCGCCTAACTTTAAAAACACATTTTAATAAAATCCATTTTTCCAGAGGAAGTAAATGTAAAATCTGTGCTGTTTTTGTTCTTGTCTACATTACACCACTCCATTTTAAATGGGCGTGTATAATATGCTATTCTTTTGCAGATCTGTGACAAGGAATGGCATTATTATGTGATCAACGTGGAATTTCCTGCAGTGACGCTATTTGTGGACGGTGTGACCTATGAACCCTACCTGGTGACAGATGATTGGCCGATCCATTCTGCCAAGATTGATACGCAGCTGACTGTGGGTGCCTGCTGGCAAGGTCAGTGTGTGAATGTGTGCAGGTCTGTTTATCTGGGAGAAGATTTAAACGAGCTGAATTCAGACGGGGAACTGCTGCTACGCTGTGCTGGTGGGTTTGTTGACAGCGGTACTCTAATCTGACAGTTGTTTATATGCAGCAGACTTTCTCATCTCAGGGTTATGGTGATGTTTTTATTTATTACGCAGAAAATCACACAGCTATGCAAAAAGGAATGCTGGAGGAAAGACCTGACCAAATCTCAACAAAAATAGTCTCATAAATACACAACGTTACACGTCCCGGTGGATGTTTCTTATGTTTTGTTGATACTTAACAGGGTTTTTGTGAATCAAATAAGGATATGCACCAGATTTTTACAATGAGATTTTTGCAAATTAGGAAGTTAAGGAAGCAGAAAGTATTGATCTGTACATGAGGAATAAATAAGAGCGATGCAGCTTTCTGATGTGCAAAAGAGCTGCAGATGCATCTGTCATCATCCTGAGTTTATTCTTTCGAATTCCTTCAGCTTGATCCTGTTTGTCCCTGGTGGCAACACACCATATAGGTGGTAAATGCCAGTATCATCTGCATGTTGAGAATTACATTCGAATCACAGACGAAGAGAGAGGCCGAGGAAGCAGAAGAGTCTCTGCTTAAATGAATAAAGGGATTAAGATTTATTCCCCGCCATGGCTGTGAGTGTTTCCTCTTTGAAGCAGAGTGGATACAACGAGAAATTCTGCATGTCATTTTCAGCCGTCACAAACGAAGCGAGCGGTGATTGCAGAGGAATCGATGTTTATTGAATAATTGCACCAAACTGCTTCATCAGACAGATCGATTCGCTCAAATCACAGCCGTAAGGCTCGCAAGCATCAGCCGAAGCTTCAGTTCTGATGCCGTTTTGGTTGCTGTTCAGATTTTCCTCCATTCCGCTCCTGATTGCAAATTTTATTTCCCTGTCGTCATCATTTCTTTTCCTTGCCTCATGCAGCCTCCTCGTGCTGCCTCTTTCTATGAATCTGTGATTGGGAGAGAAAGCCCTGAAGGAAGGATTAGTGGGAGTGAATGGAGGACAAGTTTGCCAGCCATTACATCCCAATGAAGCCGCTTTAAGCTTCACTAAGCCGCAACTGATAACTTTGCAGGCCATTAGCAAGCAAGATTGCCTTTCAGGGTCTCCCATTTCACCATCCTCTTTTCCTCACAATCAACAACATAATGATGAAACATGTAGAATAAAAGGCAGCCAGACTGTACGCTTGCAGCCCCGAGAGCAGAAAGAAGTTGTCTGTTGTTGTTTTACAAGGTCAACAAGTAAACGGTTTGGATGCTAAGCTGTTTTCTTTGGCAGAATGCTTTTTATTGACTTTAAATGGCAAATGGTGTTTGTCATTTTGTTTAATTTGCCAAAGAGCAGTGGGTGGGAACTTGTAAAGGCACTCTCATTGTGTTCAGACAATTAAGTTAAGACATGGGGTGGACATGAAAGGAGGGCAGGATGGTTTATTGTGAGAAATGAAAGGCACCAATTAAATAAGAGAAGCCGCTATTTTAGATCATGTAGCACAGTTATATAAGAAAGCAGTCCACTTGAGTTTAGCTTATCACAGTTCTTGTTGTTTTTATCAGGTCAAATAACAAGACATCATCTCAGATTGATTCAAATCCACTTCATTGTTTTCAGATTCAATAGAAAAAATGTCAGATAAGTTTTCAATCATTGAATTTTCACCCTGAGTTTGTGCACCATGCACGATCACTCAGCTGGAGGCTTTCCAGGGGATAACTGAGACATCCTGATGATAAAAACAGGACAAATGTCCAATTTAAAGGTGTGGTTCACTCATTTAGTTTGTACATTTGCAGTGGTCTCCAGTAGGAAAGAATGCCTTGTAAGTCGTACTCTGGGTACAAAAAGCCCTGGTGCACTTGTTTCAGGATCTAGAAGATTGCCAGATGAGAGCTGAGCTTCAGACAGCAAGTACGGGGTCTTATTTCCTGATGTGTGAACATCTCACCTCTGACTGGACAACAGCAACACAACTCTACCACTGGCTCCGTTTACTTTGCAACGTTGGTGTTTTATCTCCAGAAATAACACAAGCCTAGAGGTGTTCTGCCATGTGGTGGAGTTGCTAATGCTAACAGTTAGCTTTTAATAGGCCGAAACGTTCTCTGCTGTTTCCTGGACACTAAAGCAGCAACAGCATTCCCCATCATGGGCCAAGATGGGTGAGTCTATGGATGTTAAGTGACAGTGTGACATTGATCAATCAGACTTTTCAACTCCTAGAGATTCACCGTCTATTTTCGATCAGAAGCTAATGCAGGAAATAGGTGTAGGATACTATTTTCATGTTCATCCTGCATGAAAAACTCTGAATGACCCATTATGATCAGAAATATTTTTGAGTGAACCACACCTTTAAAGAAACATTTGCAAGAACCAGTTTTAATGGGAAAGCCTGAGACTTGATTCTCTTTCATCCATTCATTTTCATCCGCTTATCCGACACGTCCTGGGTCTTCATTTAGGTCTCCTCCCGATTGGATGTGCCCGGAAAACCTCACCAGGGTGGTGTCCAGGAGGCATCCTAACTAGATGCCTGAGCCACCTCATCTGGCTCCTGTCAATGTGGAGGAGCAGCGGGTCTATTCTGAGCCCCTCCCGGATGACTGAGCTTCTCACCCTATCTGTAAGGGAGAGCCCAGCCACCCTCCCTGCACCAATCTGTCTAGACTGCTCCCAATACTGCAAGATGCTCTTAAAAATGTTAATGAAGTTCAGATGAGCAGAATTTTTTGTGTGTTTTCTGTATTATTTTAAACACACTTCTGACTGTAATCATAAAGGTTAAGAAGATGCCTATGAGCCTGAGCATGGGTCCAAGCAATAACTTTGTTTTGTTAATATGTTTTTGGGGGTTTATGTAAGATTTTATCCAAACCTTGTTAGAGGATCAACATGTTGACTTTTTATGGTATCTATAAGCTTTGATTTTAGCCCAAAAATATCTCAGTTCAGTGGATTCATACGCATTTCTTGGTTTGTTGCTTCCACCAGAAAAAGCTGGACACAAGGTCACAGTGCCCTTTGATCTTTGATTCTCCAAATCTAATCACGTCATCTTTGAGTTCAAATGGAAAATTCCTGTGAGGCAATCATGAGAAATGAGCTGAAAACCTCTCAGTAGCGTAAAGGCTGCAGGTATCTGTGACCAGCAAAGGCATTATGTGATCCACGTGAAATTTCCACATCAGTGTGGATTAATAATTCATTTTCAAATCAATATTAAATGTAATCTACACCTTATTTGATTTGTCATGAGATAAAAGCCACTAGAGTAACTAATATGCAGTAGATATTGATGTTGGAACAACTGAGTGCTTTGCAGGAAAAGGTTCACTAAGAACATAAACAGAATCCTGTCCCAGGACTCCTTAAAAGACCTTGTTCATTTGTTTAAAGTCTCAAACCTTTAAAATATTTATACTGGGGCGTACTGGCCCAAAACAGGATGAATAATTTCAAATGAACACTGCCATTCTGAGTGTCGTGTCTGTAAGAGTGTTTGCTAATGCATGAAAGTGTGTGAACGTGTTAATAAATCCTTTTACAAGTGAAATAAGAAAACTTTACTTACATTTCCTCAAAGTGAGAGTGAATCAGAATGGAAATTACAAGGATTTTGGCCTTTAGTTACTGAATTAAACAGCAAATGGTCAGATCTATACATGTGCTTCTAAACTAATTTAAACCTGGAGAGTTCCTTAACTCCAAACAGTAATAAGACCCTGAGACCCACTGCTTTGTTTAACGGAATATCATCCTAATTTGGTTTAATACTGTTTGCATGGTCTGCAGAATTTAATACAACACAGAAACTCTTTGGCTTCTGATTTTAATTCAGTTTAGGATTAGTGTTATAAATCTGTAAAAACACAAGTGCATGTCTAGACAGGAGATCTTGTTGCCATCCAGTTATTCAGACGCAAAGTGTCGGTCCTAATGAAAACCTTTCAACAACATGTCTATGAGAGATGGAAAAAAGATGAATGGAAAATGTTTCTTCAGCGATGAGGAGAAAGAAAATTTGAAATGTATCGCACACACACACTCACACACATACAAACGCCTTTCTGCGTGTCATCATCTCTAATGCGCATTGTTCCAGAGCACATCTTAGGGCATAAACAAGAGAAATGCACAAGAAAAATAACAAGAATCTACTTTAAACAAGGACTGTAGCTGCAGAGTGTTTGAGGGTTTGCAGAAAAACAGTTTTATAGTAGACATACAGTGCATACATTTCTTGGTATAGAAAAGATTTGTCACTATAGTTCAATGTAATGGGAGGATGTTTGAAAATTTGAATAATTTATTTGTTTACATTCTTCTTGAATTGAAGCCCAGTAGGCATTTCCCACCGCCATCAAGGCCATGTCACATGCAGTGCCGTCTCTGAATTAGGGGCCATAACGTGGGGCCGAGGCTGAGGCCTTCCCTAGAGCAAGCAGGGGGCCATGCCGCTAGTGCTGACCGCTCACCTGTCAATCAAAAACACACCCCTAATTATTTATAATTTCAATCTAAATGGATGAGTTATAAAATAATTCACCCCCCTCAAAATTGTCAAGAAGGTAAACTTGACCTACTAAACCTAAAATTTTTTTTTTGATTCAGGCAGGAAACATGTTTATTTCTGCTGTGAAGTTGTCATTTTTAACATGAGAGTCAATGGGAACTTGTTCTTTTCAGGAGTCAGCCTCTAGTGGATGAGGGGGGAACTGCAATTTTTGTCACTTCCGTATTCGCTTCACTTTTGGCTTTGGCAGGTGGAGTTTTCACCTATTGATTAAAACCTTTAATGGCCAAAGTCGTTCTTAAATTTTCTAAAAGAAAGTGTTGCATAAAAGAAAGTGGCACGTGCTCACCGCAGCATTACAGCTCCCAGTGTCAATTAAAGGGTCCACGTGAGTGTTTTATTTTTATTTTCTGACACATTTTACAT